GAATTATTTACGAATTTATTATACTGTTTTTCTACGTTTTTTATACGTTTTTTAAACGTATTATTTCCGTATACTTTTCTTATACTGATTATTTATAGGGCTGCTAATAGACCAACTTGTTAGACGACCAGAAGGTTTTCATCAAGAAGATTTTGAGCCACGTTAGCTTATATAGGACAAACTGTAACGTTAAGACGTCCTGTATTCTCCAGTTTGTTGACTACTTTCAAAGCGAATCCCATTTCACATTCAAATGTCAATACTTTATTAGAGGTTGAAATCAATGTAATACCTCTTTCAAACGCTAAAATCTCGTTAGAAATTCTGCAAAATGAAACAGAATGAATTTTCATTTTTCATTTTTTTTTCTTAATCATTTGTAAGATTAATTTTTTTAATTAACATTATATAATTCACATTTTTTGATACCAATGATAATTTTAGCATTGTTTAAATTTTTGGTTTTTTTTTTATTTAAGAAAAAAAAATGTTTCTTTTTATATTGACATTATTTTTAACTTTTTATAATTTTTTTTATTACAAATTCAATATATCATTTTTGTTAAATGATTTAATAAAGTGAAATGAATAATTGGAGCGTTTATAAAGTTTTTTTTTATTGCGAAATTTTTTTTTAAGTTAAACAAATAAAAAAATTTGGTTTTCTTAAACGAATGAAAATAAACCTATCTGTTTTTATATAATTATCACTTCAAATCTGTCATTTGCATTATGTTTTCAATAGACAATAAGTTATCCAATTTAGATTCTTTTTTTTTGCTGTTTAATCTGTTTGTTTAACAAATATTTCATTTATCATCATTCAATGATCTGTGTTAGCCTAGATATAATGAATTTATGTAAATAAAATCACAAAAAAAAAATGAAATTAGAAAAAATCGTTCTTCTGATCACAAAGAAAAAAAAATTAAAAATAAAATTAAAAAAGAACTATTAATAATACTTAGCAAATAAATAGCTATTTGATCAACAATATCTATGTATTCGATACTGAATATAAATCTGTTTCGAATTTCTTCATTCAACAACCTGATCATAATCTTGGATCTCACTTAAACTTAGAGGATACCATTATGAACATTGATCCAATCAATCAAACGAATGTTCAGCTACCTCACTAGAGACTTTCAATCAAATTCCAAAGGTTATATGATCGCTTTCAAAATATCGTTTTGACTCAATATCCTAGAATTGTATGCATATACTGTGGAAAATTATTGTATTTTGAGAAAGCCTTTTGGTCATTCTATAACCCTTCATTCCTTTATCCTATATAATAACGAATTCTCTTAATTAACATATTATCGTCATTTAATCTAAACTAAGATCAAATTCTAAAATTTAGAGTTTCAACTTGTGAATTGTGTAAAAGACCATTTACCAGATTTAACTTTTCTTATCTTTCACCCATGCTGGATGAAATCGCTTTTATGCTATTACATAGAAGAAAGCATCTATTATCTGTCTACCTCTATTGTGTCTTAGAAAGATCACCAAACAGTAACCCATTTTCAGAATATTAAAGTTTAATGGGTTACTCCTGTAATGTAAGAGTACACGTCTTATACTCTGAAACTTTAGGTGCTATTCTAGAACCTACTGATGATCTTAGTTTTGAATCTACTATCCCAAACCAGTCTGACCATTTGACTGATAACCTGATCCTACAACGTGCCACTTTCTGGTTAACGCAAAATAATCTATACCTTCAATTTTTCGCTAATCTGTTGTCCTTATCTTGTAGACGTTCGTATCTGAACAAACCTTTTCTGAGAGTCAAGTACATTCTGAATAATTCTATCACTTCTCCTTTCAATCCACAAAATGTAGTAGTACCAAACTACAATCTTCTTGATAAAGTCCACGATGAAGATTTCTATTACACCAGATTGATGGCTGAATTCATTTATGAATCAGAAAACTTACGGATTCCTATCTTGACCTACGATCTGAACTTAAAACCCCTTTTTTTCCCAGATCTCTTTACCGATGGAAAGGGTCATTTACACAATACGTCAGATCAATTTGTTGATGATGAATTCTATGACAAAACTTACGGCAAGTATATCAAGTTATGACTGACAAATATTGATTTGAGATAGAGGCTTCACTATTACTGGCCTTTGTGATCTTATTTGCAACTAGAAAAGTTAAGGCACTATCAGAACACGCAATGACTGCTCTGATAAAAGAATCTCCTCAGAAATAATGGAATGAACTTACTAATGGCAAGGCAATTACTCCAGCCAAGTGCCTACTCTTTGCAAAATATAATCGATGAATTGAGTATGGTCAACATTTCTTCTTTCATAAGAAATGGCGATACATATTTCCATCAAAAGCAACTCCACCTGAATTCAATGATCAATAAACTGGGTTTGCCAACCTTATTTATTACTTTATGTATGACTAAGGTTGCTGAACGAAATCAAGAGTTTAACAAACGTCTAAATGGTAAAAGTAAAACATGGTTTAATTATATTAAAATCTTATTAAAAAATCTGTAAAATTTGAAAAAAGGTAAAATTATATCAAAGCTTATAAAAATGGTGAAACTATATCAAACACTTAGTAAAAATTTAGCGAAACTA